GCCATCTTCTTGGTGAAGTGGTGCTTCCAATGTTCCTGCATTTTAGGAAGTTTTACCTCTATTTCTAAGAGGTAACTCACCTCCTTGATTGGATTTCTGTAAAGTTTCACCACATATTTTTGATACAAGTCCAGGTAATAGTTGAAGTTTCAGTTGAAGCTCTTCAACCTCACCTCCAGGCAAGGACAGGAGACCGAAGGGCTTCATCAAAGGCACTGACTTGCTGAGCTGGATTTCAACTAGAAGAACTCAGAGAAATCAAGGAGAACTGACAATGTCTTAATATTTCATGGATTTTTCAGTGAAGCCAGTTTATCCCCATGCAATCCAACCATTTTGTGAAGGGCAGATGCTCCTCCAATCGCCCTGCCACCTGGTTCATGGCTCTCAAGCCGATTCAGCACAGGGCTCCCCAGGTTCCCTGGGGCTGGTCTCCAGTCCACCCACAGCATCACCTTCAGAAATGTGCCTCTGTGGGGCACTTCTGACATGTGGGCAGGTCCTTCTTTCAGCTGAATTTGCTCTTTCTTTCTCTCTTGCTTTCTTTTCTTTCTTCCTTCCCCTCTCCTTTTCTTTTCTTTTCTTTTTTTGTCTTTTCTTTTCTTTTCTTTTCTTATCTTTTTTCTTTTCTACAACACTTCACTCTCTAATATCTCCAGCAGACTCAGGCCCGGATCTTTGCTGTCCATTATCCAGGACTCTGCCATGAGTGACTTGTCCTCAGTATCTTTACCCACAAGGGAAATGAAAGAACCATCAATGGAGGCTGGTCTAGGGGTTCTGAAGCATAATGGAGTTCTAGCTGCAGGTGCCCTGCTCCCAGAAGTCCCTCTGTCTCTTATTCCTGAATCAGTAAAAGGCTCTGGGTGCCAATAGGTAGATTCTAACTTTCTCAGGTTTCTTCATGTGGCTAGGACCATAGCTACCCTCAAGAAGTTTTTAGAGAAATGAATCCTAGTTATTAACTTGTTTAGCAACCATGTCAGGTAAGATGATGGAATAAGAATGGCTATTAATGTCGGAATGCAATCATTTGGCAACATAAGATAGAGATACATAAATGTCTATGTATATGGTTTTTGCTGAGGGTCACATGAACTGTGAGCTGCTTCAGAGGGTATTTGTAGAAGTCAACAACATGGCAGAAGACATCAAGACCCCAGTCAAGAAGCACAAGACCCTTTTGACAGCAGCTTCCCCAACCAGAACCAGACCAGGAAGTGCTGGCAGACTACTGTAAGTTCCACCACTGTGAGAAGGCAGTGGCTGCTGAAGGCAGCAATGTCTCCATGTGCACATGGTACCAGCATATGTACAAGTCCCTCTACCCTGTGTCCTGGGTGTCTGTCGGCTGAGGATGACTGCGAGGCAGAAGGCACGTTTCCTGGAAAGATCTAAATTGGTTCCACCCTTCTCCCAGGGAGGTGAAGGAGGACATGGGTACATCCCACCCTGGGATCCCGAATCATGGCTTAGCTAATAATGAGTACTTTTTGGAAAAGTGGAGGGAAAAAGAGAGAGAGAGAGGGAGGAAGGAAGAAGGGAGGGAGGGAGGGAGGGAGGGAAAGAAAGAAGAAAGAAAGAAAGAAAGAAAGAAAGAAAGGAAGGAAGGAAGGAAGGAAAGAAAGAAAGAGAAAAAAAGAAAAAGAAAGAAATCAATCTACATATATGTCTCTGTCTCTTTATATCTCTCTCAGTCTGCTCAGGCTGGGGCTGCTGTAACAAGATACCGTAGACCAGGTGTTCCAAACACGGGAGGTATAGCAGTGAACAAGACAGATAAGGTCTTCACTTTTAAGGAACAGATTCTGAATGGATGGCAGAACATAGACAAACTGACAAGAAGATATCCAGAGGTGGGAAGCTATGCTGTGATGATGTGAATGAGTGGGAGCTAGGGAGCAGGGGCTGCCTGGCAGGTGCTGTAGTTGCAGAGAGTTGCAGCCACAGCCAGAAGCACAGTGTTGAACCCTGAAAAGACAGGAAAGAAATACCCCAACCACTCTCTTCTTCCCTCTGATCTTCTCTGATGCCTCCCATTAGATAAGTACAACCTATGGGCCAAAGAGTCTGAGTTTGGAGGACTGCAATCCTTGGGGTCCAGCCTCCCGGAGCACAGAGCAAGGCAGAGAAAGAGAGCACATGATCAGGGGCATGGGACTGAAAAATAAGAGAATAATCTCCAATTACAGTAAGTAGAAAATACTGACCACTTCTGAGCTCTCAGAGGGCCAGCTCTAAGTTGGGTTTACCTGTCTCTGTCCAACAGGACCCAGGGGGCCAAAATTTGGCAAGAAGTAAATGCTTGTTAATTTAATTGCACTTTGTAGAGTTGACTCTGCCAGGTCTAAATGATAAATGAATGTGCATCAGGCACCAGAGTCTCCCCAGAGTGTCAGGTGGGCGGGGGGGTGTTCTGGTTCTTCACTGTTCCCAGGGTATTCCAGCAGGGTGCTAGGTGCATGCTTATATCCAATGATCATTTGCTAAATAAAGGAAGAATTCTTTCTGAATGCAGAATTTTCTTTGTTATCCACATGCAGAACTGTGATAAATTAAAACATTTCTCAACTTGGAACTGTGCTATAAATGGAAAGACTTCATAAAGGTTGAGGAAGAAGCCAGGGGACAGATTACAACCATTTCAATTTCCTTCTCCCTTTCTCCTGGAGGAAGCTTCAGGAGAAAGTGGTGATTAAGAATAGATGCATGTATTTCCTCTTCTAATATATAAACTCTATGTAATGTGTTCTCTTCTTCCAAAACCATCATGTACTGGGAACCTCCTCATAAAGCTAGAGAGGAATTTAGTCACAGATGTACAATTTATAGTCAGTATTGTTTAGGTGAGGTAAAATCAAGAAGAGTTTAGAACATTTTAGAAGTAGAGGGACAAGAAACCCAGAAAGGGTGGAATGAAGGAGTGATTCTGATATTAGATGGATTTCCTTGATGGTGTGTTGGAATCAGATTTACACAAACACTCAAGGCTTACAGAACATGTTGAATGTATGCTGTAGACTGTAAGGGCTCTGAATTGAGAAAAGGCTGCAGGAGTTGTCTGGACTTGTCCTTCAGAAGGGAGAAGGCAAGATACAATAGGGAGCTGAGTGCAAGTCTTATGACTCAGCAAAGGAAGGAAAGGAAAGCACTTGCTGTGGCATGGGGGCATTCAGATGGGTGTGGCTGAGAGGAGGCTATTTGCCTGGGAAGCTCCTTGCTTCCTGGAGAACCAGAGAGGAAGATGAAAGCCGTGGTTTCCCATGTGCAGAGAAAATGCTAACAGAAAACTTTTCTTTTTTCCCCCAGCTCCTCTGCATCTAGGTAAGACCTTATGCCCAGTGCTTGTCAAAGTGTTGTCAGGGGAGCTGACATAGACTTCTTCTGTCCCTGGCCCACCAAAAATAGATCCTGCTCAGGTTACCCTCTACTCAAGGGTAGAGATATCCCCCATTTCGATTTCCATTGAAAGAGAATTCCTGAATGTAGAGCCTATGGCGATAACCTAAATGTAAGCACCAAGAAGACACAGCCAGATAAAAAGGCCTAAGTTCTTCATTCATATCACCAGGCACACCCTTTCTCTGGGTACATGTTGCTATGGTGGGGATGAGGGTGGAATGAAGAGAATTGTTTGTTCCTATAATCAAGGTCTTGCCTCTTCCATTTTAATATACTATACCTTCTAGACTAAATAATAGTAATCTTCAAAGGCTTTCTTTTTTGAAAATTGCAATCACTTCTACAGCTATGGTTGAATGTCAAGGCAAAGTCTGAATGGTAGTTTCTCCAGGATGAGTCAGCCTGACTTCTTAAGGCACTTCCCTGAAAAATATGAGAAAAGAAGCCATACAGGCTCTTTAGGCTAATCAGAGGCTAATGCATTTCTCCAAAGGTCGGGGGAAAGTGCTTTCCTCCCACACCACTCCCTAAGGGGCATGTCTGGCCTGAAACTAGTGAAAGATAGAAGTAATGCAGCTTATGCCCAGGTTCATAAACCAACCTGTGAATGAGGCTACAAAGGAAAACAAAGGGGCTAACTAGGGTGGTTCTAGGTGCCATGTGTTGAGCTTCCTTTTTCCATCAAGGCCTGTTCCTCCCGAAATGGACCTTCATGTGCACTTGCCACTCTGAGGAGAGGAAAGCCTAGAGGTGGGTTTGAATATCTTTCAGTCTCTAGCCTTTCCACCAGCTTTTGCCAAATATAGGATATTCAAAACGGTTATACATACTAGAGTATGTATACATACTAGAGTGCCATGGGTGTAATTAGCGTTATTAAGTAATTTCACATGTCGTGAATTGAACGGATGGATTATGTGTTAGTGTGGGAGGGAATTCAAACCTGTAGCAAAGCTTGGAGCTAGTGGGAGTTCAAAGAAAACTCAGAGTCTTTGGAGTCTCTGGCAGGCATGCTCAAAACTGGGAATGTGGCCCCTCACCCCAGTTTCTGTTTGGGGAACAATCTTATCTCTTTAAATGGTTACAAGACTTGAAGTTGTTTAAGAAAATGTATGGCTGCCATTTAAGATTTTCTAGAAATGACTAAGATGGCCTTAACTAAAGGTTATTATTGAACTACTAAATAAGATCAAAAGTTGAGAATTTCACCTTGGTTACCTGTCATTTGCTCATTTGGAAGGCGAGATAGAAGAGAAGGACCGTGAAGGTTTGTCTGTACAATTTCATCTCCTAAAAAGTAGTCTCCTGGCAAATGATGCTGAACCCATGTCTGTGCCAGGCTGGCTGTGGTCAGGGTGGACATGAGACTAGAAACCACAAGTCTCTGTTGATGTTTTACATCTTTTTCTTTCATTTTCTTCAAGATATTGAAACAGATTTTCAATTTTGTCTTTGTTGTTGTTGCTGTTGTTGTATTTTGTGGGGGTGATTCACCATAAAAACTAAATAGAGGAGAAAAAACCCACCCCGATCATCACAAAAAGGCACTTCGAAAATGCCCATATTTGATCACTGACAAGTTCTTTTTGAATGCAGCTTTATTGATAGTGATGAGCTTATAAATACTACATACATTTTAATTTGTTGTTCCTTATATAGTACCAGAATGTTTCAAGCAAACAAAGAAAATTTTCCCAAAATCTGATGAATAAAAACATTTTTAGGGGTGTCTAAGACAAACATTTTATTTCAAATTCCCTGAGAGGGGAATTTAAATGATCTTTACCCTCTGAATATACTGGAGGGTAAATTTTTAATATTTAAAATCTTTAGTTCTCATAATTACCATGGAGGAGCATTTCAGACACTATGCTATAGTTTTTATTGGTGTGAAAAGAGATACGGAAAAATAATTTCTTTCAATGCTGCTCTGTGCTAGAGAACACAGCCATCTGTGGCCAGGGTGGGGAGCTAATTCCTTCAGAGAAGAATTCAGAGAAATTAGAGAAATTCATGTATGTGAAACTCAGGGAAAAATTAATTGAATGAAGTGATTTTAGTTGGTTTTGTCTAGCAACTTGAATGAATTCTGAAGATATTTGGTCAGGATAACTGCAAAATATTGACCTTGTAACATGAATTTCCAGGAAAACCTCTACTTATACACGTTTATGAAATATACTTACTATAGTTGCTTCTCTGCCTGAAATCATAGAGCCATTCAGTACAATGTCACCTCCTTATTGCCTCAAACACACCTCCTCACTCAACACTCCACTGCCATCAAATCACTGTTTAAAATTATATTAATCTGTACCATCACTGACTTTCTATTCATAACCATTCTTACAGCATAGGAAGTGAAACTAAAACTCACTCAATGCCACTGAAAGCAACTAGGGCAGCAGGGATGACAACTCGGCACCAAGGGTCTAACTAAGACTGGATGGGCTACATTAAGGTCTGGCTTCCCGGAGACGTTCACATCAGGTCTCTGGCCCATTCAGAAAATGAGAGTTTGAGTTTCATTATGTCAGCAGCTGGGTAATAGGCTATTTTTCTGATACACTGAACTGATGCTTTTATTTAATCACAGGACTCTGGCATTACAAAATAAGAAAGCTTTTTCTTTGAGAAAAATAAAAGGAGGTACAGGGTTAGAGCCTAAGACGGGGGAATATAATTGAATGTAAGCTTAAAACATAATAAAATGAAGTAATCTCCAGTTGGGCAACATGGAGAAACTGTCAAGATTATAGGAGCAACTGACTTTTGAAGTTGGGTCAGAGTATATTTCACTTACACATGAAAGGTGACATGAAAGATTTTGATTCTGTATACTTTCACATCTTGCAGTGGTCAGTGATGGAAACTCATCAACCCTTATGTCTCACGCTCCTTATATTCCAATTTGTTGTGTCAGAAATTCTGGCATGCCAAATTCATATTGGTCTTTATTTGACATAATTGTTGAAGCAAAAGATAGAACTGCCATGTACCCAAGCCCCTGGTAAACCCAGATATGTGTATTTTCTGAGTCTTCAGATGAGCAATGTAGAAAACACATTAAATGATCATTTGAAGTGATTTTTCCAGCTCTAACATGTCTCCAGTTTCATGTCCAGAAAGCCACTGCCAAGTTTTTGCACAAGCTATCTTATCAAGATCCAACAGATTAAAAATCCTCTATGTTCAGCATCTCTTTTCATTCTTCTGTGATAAAATGTTACAGTTGATTGATTCTTACTTAATTCTAAGCCTTAGGTCCTCCACTTTACAATACTTCTAGGATCTCAGTGGGAGACAGAGCTATTATTGTGCATCAGAGAATTACATCTATTTGCCACTTATAATCTGTAATCCATAATAAGTCACCTTTTTTCCCCTTTTAAAATTAACAATATACTATAGGCTTCTCAATTTTGTAAGAATATATATTTATACTTAACTAAAAGATGTTACAGTCACCCTCACATGAGTTTTGTAAGTTGTGGCCAAAATAATTTATTAAATACAAAATTTATGTTACCAATGATGCTGCAAGGATAAAAGATTATCTATATTTGTGCATTGATAATTTAAGAGCTCAGTGACTTAACTTGCTCCATACACTAGTTTCTCACACAGTGTATTTTCTGGCCCAGGTGGACAAGAAGTCACAGGAGCAGGTGCCTACAGACCTGCCCTGCACTTGGGGAAGTTCTTCGTGCTCTGTGTAGGGTGAAGAAAAGCCTGTGTTTTTCTTTTTTATTAATAATGTCTTGTACTTAGTGTTTTAGCCTTTACCTGAGTGTTACCATTTAATACACAGAGTTTGAACTTATCATAAGGGGCAATGATATAAAATTGTTCCACACAGTGTACTATATGAACCACTTTTCACAGTTGAAGTAAAATAGTTTAAATATAAATATTGTAACTCTAGCAACAAACTATCTACAAAAGGTGGGAGAGGATGAGATTAATGAAAACCCAGTTATATTTCCATGTAGCTCATGTTTAACCATTTAATTAGTTTGTTTTAATTTTTAAAATCCAATTACACATAACCCATGATTGATGGGCAACTTCCTGTTCAAAACAAACTGTCAAAGAATAAAATGATAAATTATAAGAAAGGAAAATATGTATCATTTACTACAACTGTTCCCTTGCTCCAGAACTTGACAAACAAGTAAAAGAAATGATATCGAGTGGATACACATTAATTTGCAAAGTTAATTTGGAGCAGATGAGGTTAAAAATATATACCAGAATGGGCACATATTATTTTAATGTTTCCAAGTGAAATGGATGTATTAGAATTTAATTGAGAGCTCAAGAGGACTGCTGTGAAATGGGAAACAATGGCATTTGCCAACAGGAGAACCCATTCATCCTGTTATCTCCAAACCAAGAATTCCAAATGTTTCCTTCAATTTCATCCATATGAGAATGGGAGAAATGAAATTATGGCTATTGGCTATATAACCTTCAGGCTATAAAAGCTTTAAGTTAATGATCCTTGAGGACATAGTTTTATTTGGTGTTCTTCCTGGGGCTCCCATTAGGGTCAAGGTTGCTTTTAATCCTGGTATAGTTTTTTAGGGTGAGAGCAAGGCTCTCAAGATACTTGCAATTCCTTTAATAGGGAACATGGATTAAAGTGCAAATCCTTCTAGGAGAAATGAAGAAAGGATTTAAACTTACACTATAAACCAAATGACTAAGATCAGTTTCTTCTTTGAGAGCAGATTTTTATGATGGAAATACAGTGGGTCTTAAGGCAGGGAGGAAGAAGGGCTCCGGGATAAACCAAGGACAGCCCCTGGTGAAATCCCCACTGCTTTCCCATCAGGCTTTGTTTTAAGATTCAGAACAGTGGTGTCATGGGCTGCCCTTTAAAATCCTTTACACAGGAAAAGAAACTGCATTGGAAAATAGAATTAAATCTTAAGTCTTTATAGATATAGAGTTCCATTTTAAAATAAAACCTATCAATGAACATTTTCAACTTCCCAAAGAAGAGAGAGAGAAAACCTTTTGTATGTGAAATCATTTACATAAGTGTCTTGTGGCTAATGTGTAGAGGGAAAGTCTCAAATGTGGGTGTAACCGCTGTACAATTGGGAATCTTGCTGTGACAAAAGAATGCACTCTCTGCCACCCAGTGGCCGCTGAAGTAAATTCTAGTTTTCTTTGTTGGCTATGACCCTGAATTTTGTTTTGAAAAAACAAAATTAAAAGACAGAGGTAGATAATGCCATACCAGTAATTTAAAACCATCAAGACGTTTGTCTCGATATATTTTCAAATGCAATCATTGTAGTAAATGTTATATATTTTCCTCTGCGCTAACTTAAAGGTTAACCACAAATAAATATTTGTTCTTCCTTTGTCTTTGCATCTACCTGGGTTCAGATACTGACTGGCACAGAGGACACGGAGCTGGCTCGGGACTCCCGGGTCACGTTGTTGGGCATCGAGAGGGTACAGCACGACACGCCCACGGTGGCCTCGGGCAGCTCGTCCTCCTCCGTCCACTCATTGAGCTCGGGGTTGAAGCACTGGATGCACTTCTTGTACTTCTTCTCGCCCTCGTTCCAGCCACCCACCAGGTAGGCGCGGCCATGCAGCGCCGAGGCGCCTGCGGTGCTCACGCCCACCAGCAGGGGCGCCGCGTAGCTCCACTGGCGGGTAGCGGGGCTGTAGCACTCCACGGTCAGCACATCAACGCGCTCCCCGCGCGGCCCCACCTGGCTACCCCCCATCACATACACCCTGTCGCCCAGCGTGACCGCGCAGTGCCAGCCTCGCGGCGTGCTCAACCCTGGCAGCTCCTGCCAGGAGTCGCTGGCCGGGTTGTACGCGCACACCGAGCGTGAGTACCCAGTGCTGATGTAGCCGCCGGTCACCAGCACTTGGCCATCGGTGACCGCACTCGCGTGGCAGCAGCGCGCCACTTCCAGGGGTGTCTTCGGCTGCCACTGATTGGTGGAAGGCACGTAGCACTCCAACGAGGCAAGGCTCCCTTCCGTATTGCGGCCGCCCACGGCATAAAGGAGCCCGTTGAACACGCTCAGACTGAAGTGCGTACGCTTCTGGTTCATGCTAGCCAGGTGTATCCAGGTGTTGAAACGGGGATCGTATCTGGGAATGGCAGAGGAAGTGTGATAGCTTTGTTGGTGGCAGCCAGGGAACCCATGTTACTCCACAAACCCTAACGTGAAATTGTTAACACTGTCCATGCAAGTAAGCTACTGACATAGCACAGCTCCTCACCTGGAGGCTGGTGTTTTTCTTGCAACCAGTAAAAAAGTGTGACACTTGGAAAAAAGCAAGGCAGGTATTGATTGGTGACTCCCCTCTTCCTATTTGTAAATTCACTTCCTTTATTGGGCCACTTTGAGAAGACCCTACAGAGACACGTCTGCCAGGCTCCTTCGTGCCATATTCAGATATCCATCATCCATTAGGATCTATGAGACTGTGTGCAGGGGAGGGGGCAAAAGCGGTGTATTTGTGGCACTCAGAAAAGGGAACACTGCCACATTAAAGTCAATCCCACATATCCTCAGACACCAGCTCATTCTCACTCCCTAATTAAGATAGCAGTTGGCTAATTGGATTTCCTAATTTCTCATAACTCTGGTCTTAGTCATACACCTATCCTGGCCATTGCAACAGCGAAGCTAAGTTACTCAACCAAGTCTTCTGTCATCTGTTTAGAATGTGGTCAGTGAGACTCATGTCCAAAAGCATCAACAAAGCTTTAATTTCTGATACTTCTCTATTTTCTAGCACTTTTTAGCAGGTATTTTTTTTAAGTTTAGGGATATATTTTTCAATGTTCAATATTACCATAAGTAATATTATCATAGGCATTGATAACATAGGCATTGAGACTTATATCATAGGCATTGAAATCAATATAGCAAAAACAGTGATTTGAGTATTAATGGTTGACTTATTAGGGGAGGAAAACAAGCAGTAATAGTAAAATATGCTTTCCTATTTACAGGAAAATATGCTAAACTGTTTACATAGTTCTTAAGCATTATAAACACAGAACTCGCTCCATCAGTTTGATGATGTTCATTCATCTTTGTCCTATTTAACCTCTAAGTCAAAACTTAACTAAGGTCATAAATTAAAAATCAATGAATTGTTTGAATTCATTTAAATAACACACACAATGAAATTAAGAATATATTTTATCGCATACTGTACATATTTTCAGATCTTGCTCACTAGTTATGGTATGTTTGACTCTGTAAGCATGGCTTTCTGAACATTCCATATATATGGAAACTTAATTTTTTATCATAAGTATACAAAAATATTATGGTACTTGGATTCCATTTTCTGAAGGATTTATTATGTCTTTTACTTTTTTCTTCATGCTTCAAAAATATTGACATTTTTCTCTGGTATTTAGTCTTCAAAGAAGTACTTAAAATTAATTAGCTTCCACATTTTTAATGATCTTATTTTATTTGCCAACTATAAATCTGACAGTCATCAATAAGTCACTTAAAAGAAACTTTATATTATTTTCATTTTTCTTACACTTAGTGTTAGAGACTAAATTTGTTCCCGGTGTCTTTCAGAAAAGCTGTACGTTGTGAAGAGCACCTGACTAGAAATGAGAAAATGTAAATTGCCACTTACTAGTGGTGTAACTTCTCTGGGTATCAGATTTCTCACATGTAAAATCAGAATAATCCTGGTTTCCTTGCTCACTTCACAGACTTATCAGAAATCTAGACTATGTGAATGCACTTTATATAAGGTGAAGTGTTCTGTATACATATTTATGGGCATTATTATACAGGGTCTGGTACAAATAACAGCCCTTTTTATTACAAAATCTTTTATTATAAAATCATAAGCATGTAATTCTGTAACATAACAATATCACACTCAAGCATACCATATGACATTTTAGGTGAAATGTTCAAATTAAAACTATAAATGATTACACTCATATTATTACCCTACCAACCACACTCAAGCAGGTGTTACTTCTGCCAGACCCTGTATATATTATTATTATAATTATTAACTTACTGAGCTAATGAACTAAGCTAATAGGCACGACTAATTTGCTTCTCTGTCAGGGCAATTTCCTCATAACATTGAACCATTTCCAATAGAGGATCAAGTACCTGCAGAAATTGCTGACTGCATGCTTGGCCTGATTTCTTGCATCATTCTGGTCTTCACCACCAGCCACGTAAAGAAATCCATCCATCACAGCCACGCACTGATTAAAACTCTTGGCTGGCATTTCTGTAAGCTTGCTCCATCCATTTTCAGGATCTCTATACAAGATGTCTCTACTAAGGGACTTCTCTGTAAGGCCTGGTCTCCCCCCAACAGTGACAAGGACTCGACAGCCCCCTCGGATTCTTGTACGCCTAGACTGCAGTGTGTTTTGATGATATGGAAGTAAATGGTAGTTCATAGCATCCACAAGAAGTTTGTGGCAATCAGCATCTTGCATCATTCTTGGCACAGACTGAACATAATTGACCAGGTCTTGTGCAGAGATAGTACCAAAACGAATATTGCTCAACAGATCTGCAGCATATTTCATTCTCTTTTGGTCAAATTCTAACCATTTCATAGCAATCTGGAATGCTACTATTTCAGAAGGCAACTGTAAGTCATCATCTATAAGAAGTTCATTAATTTGCTCAAATGTAAGTTTCATAAACTGATCTGACTCTGCAAATTCAAGGAAGTTATCCCGGATAAATTTTTGGGTTGCTGCTTTTGCATTTTTCAGAGAGTACGTTTCAGCAATGTTAGCAATGTACATGCAATTCTCAACATTCATCTCTCGTATCAAAAAATCACTGCACATCTTTACAAGGGTATGGATCTGAAGATAAACAGCAGCAGAAATAATACTTCCTATTGTATACAAGGAGAGGGTCAGCTTTCCCGTGTAGGCATATGCAATGACAGTGGCCAGGCCCAGCGGTGAGATATCATTGAGATCCACCCTTTGAGTAGATGGGTCTTTTTTTAAGATGTTGTAAAAGTACTCACTGCATGAAGCCATCACTGACTTGTGAACATCAAAGGATTTGGTTTTGGTGCCAATGACTAAGTCACAAAGGAAGCTTTCTTGCCGCATTTTACTTAAACCTTCCAAGAGGTTGGGGCCATAAGAGGCATCTGTTAATTCAGAAGAAATGCAGCTAAGGCCATTGCCTCCCTCTAGAATCCCATTCAAAGCATTTAGTTTGTTTAGGGGGCTATCTTCTACAATTATGGTCATCTCATTGATATCTCCTTTGTTCTTTCTGACAGTCTTCTTTTTGGGGGCCATGTTGGCAAACACCGTCACAGGTAAGAGCTTGCTAGAAAGAGAAAGAAAGGCATGGTATTATCTTAATTGTTCCTTGCTCTTTGAACTGCTCCATTGAGAAGCACTTCTATTTTATAATTTTTTAATGGCATAATGTAGATTAATCCTCAAAAGTATATTTAAAAATTTATATCACAATGGACATATTTTTAGGTGCACATTTTGTTGCCAATTTACTTCAGCATTAAGCATTGAAGACAATTCTAAGGAGATTTATATTATCAAATGAGACCACTCCATAGCTGTATGGCCAAGTAATTTTTGGCTGTGGAAATGACCAAATATTCTCTGATTTAGTTGAAAAATTTATGAAATAGTAGTTAAACATCATTTGAAGGGCTTAGTTCGCTTGCATGAAAAAATGAGTCGTAACTATTCTGAAGTTTTCCTCAATAATATAAATTCAGGAATCCATGTAAAATGTAAAATATATATGTGTGTTTATGTGTGTGTATAAATAAATAAATATGGCATTTAAAAATCAATGGGTAAGGGCTTATAATGGTTGCATTACTTCAATTGATTTCTACTGTACAAATTCACTAAGATAATACCCAGATGAATTATATATCTAAATCTCTCTCTCCTTCACACATACAAAATTTATACAAGAACTAGGGCAAAGTAGCTTTTTTCCCTTCATCTTAGAGTGAGAAAGGCCTTGTTAAGTATAACACAAAATTCAGAAGCCATAAAAGAAAAGACTAAATATATGAATATAAAAAAAATAAAAACTTCTACAAAACACTACCAGCTGTTTAAAAGATAAGGAACAGACTGTGAAAACAAACACTGGTGACATTTTTGATAGATAAATGGTCAATTAACACAATACTTAAAGAACACCTAAAAGTCAATGAGAAAAAGGTAAAAGTCAATGAGAAAAAGGTAAAATCCAATTAAAAATGGACAAAGATTATGATTTAGGTAACTAGGTCATTCAAAGAAGATAAAACACAGATAGTTAATAAATATTTTTTAAAAGTACACTAATAATGATCAGAAAACTGTCAACTGAAATCCCGAGATCCTTTTTATTTTGGGGGGTCAAATTTTGTTCAATGGCTGAAATATTTTAAAATATTCATAGTATCAAATATTAGTGTGGTGGTCTCTAGACACTGTGAATGGAAGTAGAACTAATACAATCTTTTGAATGATAATTTGGGAGTCTATCTGAAATAAAAACTATGTTTATGTTTTAACACTAAAATTCTAAATTCAGACATGAGATATATCCACACAGAGATATATTTGTATGGATGCTCACATATTAAGTATAGTAACTATTTTTTCATTATCAATGTTACAAATATTTGAACCAGTTGTTAAACCTGTATGAAGTGTGGGTTTAGCACCATAATGTAGCTCTGACAGCTTTAGTAATAAACATAGACTTGAAATAATAAGTTTACCAAATAGATTAAATTACTTGAGCCTATTTGGAAGGAAATGAGCATAATCATCAGAATATGCTGTACTTGGACTTTTACATGCACTTCACTTACATCACAGTGGCATTCACGTTTTTGTGAGATTACTGGTGTGGCCTGGCTTTTTTTTAATTGCAAAATCAGAATGAGCAATTAATAATTCACAGTTTTGTTATATACCATTCCAGATAATTGTATATGCTTACACAAACTTATAACTGCATATTTTTGAGCAGCCGTGTGCTAGTAAACTAAGTCTCTAGAGAGGAAAAGACTTTATTTGTAAGGTGCTGATTTCTTTGGTGCCAAACTCATTTTCACTGGGGGCCACATCAACCTTGTGGTTGCCCTCAAAGGTCTGAATGTAATTTCAGGACTGTATAAATGTAACTACTCCTTAACTAGGGGCAAGGAGCTCTACATTCAGCTGTTTGAAGGCAACCATGAGGCTCATGTGGCCCTTGGTGAAAATGAGTTTGACACCCCTGGACTGTACATACACTCATTGTGGCTAGTTTTAAGCTATCACACTGTTTAACAGCCAGCTTGCCCAGTTCTTGAAAATGTAACATTTTGTTCTTGAGAGCCAGTAAAAGCTCCAGCACAGCACTGTAAGAGAACGTATATTGGAACAAGTTTATACCATATTATTCAGCAGTTGGCTCTTTTCACCCAGCAGTAACTCGTGCATATCTTTCTGTATCGGTATACACACAAATTTACCCCATTCTCTCTAATAGCTACAGTGACCCATAGTAAGAATATATAAAAGTTAATTATTCTCCTGTTTCTGGCCATTTAGGTATTTAGGTGTTTTATAGTTTCTTGGTGTGTGTGTGTTTTAAGTCTTACTGTTGAGTTCATTCTGAGGGTTAAAACTTCAATTTAATACATTCTATGACCTTTCTATTGTGTCTGGTCCTGTTCCTTTCTATGTGGGAGAGGAGCAGCGAGTGGGTGGGAAACAGAGGAGGTCCCTGTCTTTGCCAGGGCTTTAGTCTTCATCATTCAGCTCAAATTGTCAAATTCACCTTTATATTTATTTGTCAGACTGGAGCACATCTGTCTTTCCTCATTCTTTCTTGCAAGCAGTGCCAAATTCATCTTTACCTTGTAAAATAGACTTTTAGCCCACTATCATTTTAGTCTTCAAAGGTACCTGACTTATGTGGTAAGTGTCCCCATGTTGGAGTTCTCTGGGGAAAATTTTTAAAATGTTGTTCAGCAAGCACTTATCAAACACCTACTGCTGTGTTGGTGGCACTGTGCTGGGCCTGATGGAGTAATTTATGTTAGAGACACAAAAATGACAAGGACAAAAAGATAGCAAAAAGCTAAGTAAGCACAGCAGAGTAATTTTTTTTTTCAAACAGCAGTTTCTACCATCTAGAGTAGAAGCAGAAATGTATCTTTGGGGGAGTCTTGTATATTTCCCTGGAAGAATCCCTTTAGCCATTTTTTTATTCATGTGGATGTAGGGCTGATAACTACTCATTATTTTGGGAAAAGTCTGGAACCCAGAGAGTAACCTGAGTGCTTCAGATTGAAACGTCCAATATTCTGTCTATCTATCATTAATCGATTATTTCAATGGTAGCCTGTGGAGTGGATATTTCAACAACGGGTAAAAGAGGACACCTACTAACTAACTAGTATGGATTCACAGTCCTAGAGCTGAGTTCCAGAGGGTCCCCTTCATACCTTGTGTAAGTCCTTAGTTTCCGGATTACAGTGAGGGGGTCCTAGGAGAGGGCTGCAGGGGTGTGAGGTATTTGGGGGTGGGGGATCAGGTAAGCCACCATAAGGCTATTTACCAACTCATTACAGAAGGATCTCAGTATTTCAACAACTGACACTATACTGAAACAAGTTGTCCTAGGGATAGGGTACAATTCCTCTCAGATTATTTTGATTTTAAGAGGTTTTTTTTTCTTCTAATGAAAATGGAGGTTTCTGGGAGAAAGAGAGAATACGGCCTCAACAAGAGTGATATGCTGGGCAAAGAGACAAAGGGACTAGCCACACTTCAAGTGTTTAATGGCCACAAGTGACCAACAACCATGGTATTAGACAAAAGGACCCTAGAACAACCACTTAGGGATTACAAAGTGTATCTGAAAAACCAATAGATAAATTTAGATGGAACTGAAGAGTGTAGGAAAGTTGGAACAGAGGAATCAAAATTGGAGGAAACAAACAGAAGAATAATGGTAAGCCTAAATCCAATTACATTAATAATTATATTAAATGTTAATTGAAGAAATATTCTAATTAAAAGGCACAGATTGTCAGAATAGATAAGAAAAGCAAAACTCAAAATACATACTATCTACAAGAGACTCACTTTAAATAGAAAGACACAGATAGGTAAAAAATACATGGGTAGAAAAGGACTTACCACAGAAATAGTGGAGATAATAAAACTGGAGTGGCTATATTAATATCAGATAAAATACACTTCAAGAAAAAAAACAATTACCTGTGATAAAAAGAATTTATAACAATCCTAATATATATATATGCAAATAACAGAACTTCAACATATGTGCAGGGAGAAATAGGTAATTCCTCAGTTATATTTGAAAATGTTAATAACTCCTCAGCAACTGATAGAATAACTAGAAAAAAATCAGTAAAAAGATAGATTATCTGAACAACATTATTTTTTTAAAGCCATCATTGATGTCTTCCTCTGATTCCAAGTATGGCTCTTTTTGTTTGTTTAAATTTTATTTACCTTCAGACAGAGGGGAAGAGAGCGAAAAAGAAAGGGAGAGGAACACCAATGTGTGGCTGCTTCCCATGTGCCCCCCACCAGGGACCCAGCCACATGCACCCAGGCACATGCCCCAACAGGGAACTGAGCCAGTGACCCTTTGGTTCACAGGCCGGCACTCAGTCCACTGAGCCACACCAACCAGTGCTGAGCAACATTATTGATCACCCTAAATTAACTGATATTTCTAGACCATCACACATAACAACTACAGAACACAAATTCTTCTCAAGTCTATGTAGTACACTCACCAAGACACATTCTGTGCTGGACCTCAAAACATGTCTTGGCAAATTTAAAAGATTGAAGTCATACAGAGTATGTTCTCTGATCATAGGTAATTAAATTAAGAATTAATAACAATAAACTATCTAGGAAAACCACCAATATAGGCAAATTAAACAATATACTTGTAAATAATACATGAGTCAAAGAGTAAATCACAAGGTAAATTAGATAATATTTGAGACTGAATGATAAAGAAATTTCAACATGAATACCAGTCTCCCTACTTATCTGAAGTGTGACTTGCCATAGATAATCTAACCTCTTAGAGTCTCCATTGACTTATCTCTAAAGTGAAGATAGCAACTCTACCTAATACATAGAAACAAACACAGGGAGGCTGCCAAAACAAGGAGACAAAGAAACATGGCCCAAATGAAAGAACAGATCAAAACTCCAGAAAAAGAACTAAACAAAATGGAGATAAGCAATCTGTCAGATACAGAGTTCAAAGCACTTGTTATAAGGATACTCAAGGAACTTAGTGAGGACCTCAAC